GTCAGTTGAAAATACATGTTATGTATGTATGCCAAAGGCCAGAATTCTGGTCAGTCTTAAATACTATATTCAAGGTTTAACAACCTTAGCTAATCACAGCTTTCCCATCTTGAAATCAAATAATTAATGAAGTATTCTCATAAACTTCAGTAGTTTTCCTGAGTTGGGAGTTCTCCAAATTAATGGGGAAAACAAAAGCTAAAATTTTTTAACATGAGTCCACCACCATGTAAGTGCATAGTTTTGTAAATTTTAAGGCACTGGCAAAAATGATCAGGCAACAACTGGTAAGATGGGTACAGGTCTCTCTTGTGGCCCAGGCCCACACAGTGTTGGGGTTAATTCACAACAATTCAGTGGTTATTTTTTCTTCTCAGGCTGGGACAAATGAAGCCGTCAGATGCCTACTCTCTTACAAACAGAGCACATAGTCCTGTAGATTATTCTTTATGGTATATCCAATATGATAGTCTCATTTTGAATAGGCACTGTTCTCACACTGGCTTGTTCATGCTCTTCTGGGCATTTGTCCTTAATTCTCTGTTCCTTTTCACATAATCCTCTCAGAGTAAATGCAGAATGTGTCACTGCCATTCTGTTAATTTCCCTGTGATTCTAGTTGCCCCTCACCTGCTTTCTCAACACGCTTCCTACTGAGGACAGTCCTACTCTTTACAAATATGCCTTCTACACTCTAGGCCATCAGGACACCAGTGAATCTCTGCTTTACTGGGCCCCTTTAATCTCACCAACTGCTCCTTAAAGCTCTGCCTAGATAGTCAAAGACACAGGGTTAGAAGCATCATACCTTAAAGAGACATTCAGTATCCTCAGCTCCTCGGGATCATTTAACCTGTTCTCGAGGTGAGTGCAATGCTCAGTAAAAGTTTCAATGTGATATGTACACATATTCGAAATTTCCAAATATTAGAAAAAGTAATCAAGATTAACTATAAAGCAGGGAAGATAAAATACTGTTTCTCCCGACACAGATACAACAGTAGTGACAATCTTCCGGACAGTAGCATAGAAGCCCTTGCCCTAAGAGTCTAATATGTAAAATGTTCCTTGATGCCAAAAGTTGGGTAGAAGTTTTCCTGGTTTGTATGCAGAGAATTACAATAGAATTCCAAGTGTGTGACAAATGACATCCCACATGAATGCCCAGCAGGGAGTTTAAGGTCACTGTAATAATGAATAGGCAAAGAATTAATAGGCATTGAGCCTATTAGCCTTCCTGTGTTGCAGCTGGGCAGAACAGTGCCCTGTTCATGGCCTGTAAACACGTTCCGGGCATGGCCACCACAGCTGGGCCCGGCACAGCTGCCCCTCAAAAGCTACTGGAGAGATGGGAGCCTGTTTAAATCACTCTGCCCTCTTCTCCCATCAGACACATTTCCTTTCCCATTATCTGCTACACAACAGCTACATTTGTGTTTTACAGATATTTAAGAATGGAGACAGTTGTACCAAATATCATCTTCCTTCCTCAGTCTTGCCCCCACTTCACATCCTCTCATCCTCCTGGCTCCCAGTACATTCTTCACTTTTTTTTCCCGTCTACTCAAGGCCTTCTGTAATGTGCTCCATCTGCAAGCATCACCACTGCTCTCCCTCTCTCACGGACATATTGCTTCTCCTACCTCTCCCTGTATCTTCTACAGTGTTTGGGTTTGTGTCTGCGCACAGGATGTTTATCTGCTGCAGACCTCATCTGCCATGCGCCAAACTATCTTCTCCCATTCTCAGAGGTTGCTAAGAAGCAGTTCACCTTGCCTTCCCAGCTTCCTCTTCTTTAATCACTTTCTGCGCTCAGCAAGCTTCTCCGAGTATCCTACCTGACTTAGATCTACTAAAGCTATATAATTCTATTTTCCTATTACAGTCTTTCTTCTTTCCTGAAAAAAAAAAAAAGATTCTTAGAAAGTAATACCATTACTGTATAACAGGAAAGGATGCAGGTTCAAATCCAAGCTCCGAATCTTATTGACTGTGACCTTGGGACTGCATGTTTAATCACACTCTTTAGCATCTAAGGCTGTACTAGAAATCCTTACCACACTCTGCTAGGAACTACTCCATTTAACACTGGGAGATTCCACAAAACATTCATTGTATAAAAGGCTCAGCACAGCAGCTGGCCAGCATGCCACCAGCTGATGCTACTCTTATCACGTCACAGGCAGTATGTGCACACTGTCACTCTCAGCAAACGAAGCTAACGAAGAACTATCAACTCTCCTTATCGTATGTTACTATTCCATATCCTTCTGTTAAACACTGCCAAAGCTAATCTAAGGAATGATGTGCTCATCATTTAAAACCTAAGAAACTAAATCAGATAAGACATTAATATATGTCAGCAAAAATCCTCACTCTTTGATTCTTTTCTCTTAAGATGTTAAGAATGAAAAATACATAAATGTAAATGTAAACCTGCATGTTTGGTGTTTTTCTTTTTTTCATTTTTTTAAAAATTCCGATTTGTGTGTGCATGTGTGTTCTTATGTGTCCGCTTGTGAGTACATACAAGTGGGTGCAGGCGGTGGTCCACTGAGGCCAGAGATGTCAGATAACTTTGCACTGGAATAAAAGGCAGCTGTTAGCTGCCTAATGGGGGTTCTGGGAATTGAACCTGTGTCTTCTGGAAAAGCTGCAAGTGCTCTAAACTCCTGAGCCTTCTCCGCAACCCCTGAAGTTGTTTTTGACTTAGTTTTTAGCCAACATGCATTCAGCTAGGTACATGGTTTATTCTTGTAATCCCCACTCTCTGTAGGCTGAGGCAGGAGAGCTACCAGGAGCAATAGGCAATCTTGGGCTATATAGACATGTTTGGACAGCTCAGGTTCCATAGTAAGTTTCAAGTCAGCCTGAACTATAGAGATATGATGTGTCTAAATAGCAACAATAGACTACTACACTGATAATAAAAGGTTTACTCAATGGCAACACCTTTGGACTTCCAGCTGAAAACAAACAGCATTCATAGAAGACACATATTGATTATGTAGGCTTGGGATTTACCTGTAATTTTATATAGAAACTTTCACTGGGCATTCAACACTAGTTAAAATAAGACCTGGAGAGGACAGGAGCTCCACAAGGACAGCAACAGATCGAAAAAGTCTGGGCACAGGGGTCTTTTCTGAAACTGATACTACAACCAAGGACCACTCATGGAGATAACCTGGAACCCCTGCACAGATGTAATCCATGGCAGTTTAGTGTCCAAGTAGGTTCCATAGTAATGGGAATAGGGACTGTCTCTGACATAAACTGATTGGCCTGCTCTTTGATCACCTCCCCCTGACGGGGGAACAGGCTTACCAGGCCACAGAAGAAGACAATGCAGCCACTCCTGATGTGATCTGATAGACTAAGATCAGAAGGAAGGGGGGGAGGACCTCCCTTATCAGTGGACAGGGAGAGGGAGATGGGTGGGGAAGTGGGAGGGTGGGGTTGGGAGGGGAGGAAAGTACAGGGGGGGATACAAAGTGAATAAACTGTAATTAATAAAATAAAAATAAATAAAAATTTCTTTACCTCTATAATTTCAAACTAGTGTCTTTGGGGGGGGTAATTAGAATGAACTACACAGACATGATATGTAAGATAAGCATTAATTTACCGAACATAGCTGGTACAATTTTGGATAAAAGAAGGGATAAAATCTATTTATAAGCCTAAAGAAAGCAGTTAAAACTCACATCATACCAGATAAAGACGCCCTTATATATACATTAATAATTAAAAAACCAAAAGCATGCATCCAAGCCTTAACTAAGCCTCCATTTAAAAAGTGACCCAAAAGTGGAGGATAGCTAGATTTTGGCTATTAAAGGCTAGATTTTGGTTTTGCTTGTTTAGTTTTGCTTGCTTTTGTAAAGATGGGCACATAACACTCCGGTACATGTATATAACAATAGTAAACAACAGAATAACTCTGTCAGGGGTCACAGGGCCTTCTGGGATTAAAGATCAATTCTCTAGTGTGTTAAAGAAGTCTCTCCTCCCAGGATGCTGGGTGCTGCTGGCTCAGATCTTTAATCCCAGCACTGGGGAGGTAGAGACAAGCTGATCTCTATGAGTTCTGAGTTCGAGGTCAGCCTGCTCTTCAGAGTGACTTCAAGAACATCCAGGGCTACCCAGAGAAACCCTGTCTCAAAAACAAACAAACAACACCAACAAAAAAGTAAGTCCTCAGTCTGACCCTAAGACATCCACGTAGGCAATGAAGTAACTTCATTCCCTCCACCTGAGATACTATTAGTTGTACACCAATTTTGGAGAAATTGGAAATTTTATTCTAGTGATTTACTGTATTCCGGGGTTCAGATTTAGAAAACACTTTGAAGCACATTTGCTGCCCTCTGATCTTTGAATAAATCCATGGGCTTTTTACTTACAAACCAGGATATTTCTGAAAGCTGAAAAGGGCATTATTAAAGTGGTGCTCACAGAGACTGGAGCAGCAGGCACAGGGCTTGCATGACTCTGCACTAGGATGTCTGCATATCTAGGCTGGTTTTCAGTGGAATGTTTTCTTTGGATTCCTGAAGTGGGTGTATGATTCTTGGGTTCTTTGCCTTCTGTTTTTTTTTCCCCTCTGTCCAACTTCAATGTGATAGTTTTTGTTTTATCTTATTATATTTTATTTTGTTGTGCTTGGTTGTTTTCACCCAGAAGCCTGCTCTTTTTTTAAGTGAAAGACAGATAGGAGAGGAGGTGGGGAGAACTGGGAAGAATGGAGAAATGAGAAACCATAGTCAGGATATATTATGTGAGAAAATAATCTATTTTCAAAAACAGGGAAGAAAAGGGTCGTGCTGAGACTACCAGTATAAACTAAGCCATAGTACCCCACGTCTGCCAAGCTGACAAGCCCAGTTTGAGTAATACCATTGCTTTTCTCATCATTTACAGGATCCAAGAACCTCCTCCCCACCATCCTGTAGATTCCAGGTCTAGTTTATATACCACTGCTCATGTGTAGAACTTACTTCTTAATCCTTTCCCCGAAAGAAGCAGCTTCCTCCAAAATGTTCTGGACGGTGGAAACAATATCCTGTACCATATAGATTCTCTCAATTATTCCTTTTTTTTCAGATTCCTAGGAAATACAAAAAAAAGCAAGATTTACATTAGTTACTTGGGAAAAAAAAGAGTTATTTCAAGAGAACAGTCACATTTTCCACACACGTTTATTGCTTCTAATATATAAAGGCCAGTTCATGCTTCTGGTTCCTGCCACTCCCACCATGAGCCCCAGTCACTGTCATAGAATCCAGAGGTGACAAAAGGAGGTCCCTGGGATGAGAGGCTTCAGGTCACTGCAGAGAATTCTGCAGTTGCCTCAGCATGGCCAGCTGCTTCCCCCTCCCTTCAGGTTATGTAAAGTACACTGGCACCCTCTTCTCTGACAGTGTAGCAGACATGCCCCACAGTAAGGCCACTTTGGAGGTACACACAATACATTCACTTTGTATGCAAACTGTTGTGTTTTAGTCATGCTTCCAACACATTGCAGACATCAGGAAAACTTTAGTCAACCTTTGGCAACTAGGTCTGAAACAGAGCAGCCCATCAAAGGCAATGTATAAGCCTATGTATCACAGCCTGTAAGCAGATATGACACCATATTATGTGATTTATTCATGAATGTAGAGTACTATATAAGCTTAGCTGCGTCAGTCTCCAATTCTTTATGTAAAATGAATTCCGTTGTCTGAGGATGTTAGCTTTAACTTGTACATAGCAAATCTTCAATAAATTTTACTATTCTAAGTAGCTGTAACACTATTAATAAAATTTAATGATTACTCAAATGCCCACAGATGAAAAAAAAAAACCTCTACAGTGTTTTTTTTTATACTATTTCATACTATTTATTGGCTTATTTCTTACCTACTCTTGCTTGTCTCTGCATCAATTTTGCCTATAGCACTTGCTATATACAACAATGGTCTTTACAAAACTTTCTTATTGAGATTGTTACTTGGGTTAGAAGTATGATAAATCATCAGGTAGACACTCAGTAGGGGAACACTCCTAGGATACTCTCCATACTACAAAAGAGAAAGGAAGAAAGAAAGAAAGAAAGAAAGAAAGAAAGAAAGAAAGAAAGAAAGAAAAGACAAAATGAATTAAAAAAGAAAGAAGAAAGGAAAGATGAAAGAAAGAATGAAAGAAAAAAGGAAGAAAGGAAAGAAGGAAGAAGGAAAGAGACAGAAAGAAGAAAAGGAAGGAAGGAAGGAAGGAAGGAAGGAAGGAAGGAAGGAAGGAAGGAAGGAAGGAAGGAGGGAGGGAGGGAGGGAGGGAGGAAGGAAGGAAGGAAGGAAGGAAGGAAGATAGATTAACTCATTTTTATCTTCTATTTCTGCTTCATTTAAAAAGAGCCAAAAGGGCTGCAGAGATGGCTCAGCCCTTAAAGGCTAGGCTAACAACCATAAAAAAAAAAGAGCCATGAATGCAGTGAGCGCCTCCTGTGGCACTTAGAGGTAAAAGCACCAATAGGGACAGGTATGTATAATTCACTCGTTCAAGTCATCTATACCCCACCATTTGGTATTGAAGTTGTTTCTTCTTGCAATGGCACCTTGCAAGACTGTTTGACTCTCTACCTTAATTTTAAATATTTTCCACTTACTATTATTCTTTAAGTAGTTTGTGCTAAAAAGTAGAAAGGCTGCCAAGGCAACCTCATTCATAAGCCGCAAACCACAATTGCCTATGAATGGGCACAATAGTCAAAACCCATCTCTGTCTGCTACAGAAGTCCCATGTTTACAAAGGAGCATTTGAAGGCTCTGGAGAGCTTGACCCAAAGGGCAAAGGAGCTTCCTCCTTGCAGCAGCATTGACTTTAGGTCAAAACAATTTTTTGGAAAATGACTCAAGTTTTTGTGTGGCTCAATTTCCTAAGAAAGTTCCTATTTTAATTGTTTGATTTTTTTCCCCCTACAAAACAACTAAAACTTAAGGTTCTGATTATAAAGAAAGTGTTAATTAGTACACCAAACTAATGAAGGACTGTGACAGCATCCTTTCAGTTTTTAAATGAAGTTGACATTTTGCTGTGAGCATTCAGTATCTGTAGATGAGACTCACATTTGCATATTTTTAAGAGTCAGAGTAATCAAAATACTGTACATTTTGATTTATTAACTAACTCATTTTGATTACAGTAGCTAAACTGTAAAAATGGTTTCATTTTATTTCCATAATACATTGTTATAAAATAAAAATATGTAGCATTTATACACTCAAATATAAAAGGCTTTAGGTTGGTTACGTGAATATTTGGAACTGACTCAGGAAAAGTTGTTATCCATGGTACAAACACTCAAAGGCACTCAACAAATACACATTATTTGAGGTTCCACTTTCATCTTCTACCAGCCTGTCACAGGATAAAAATCTTACATACTTTTACTTCATCTTCTCATTTGTAATGTCCATCAAGTTGTTCCTAACCATCTTCAGAATTCAACTTAATGGTCATTAAGTCGACATCTTAATTGACACCATTGTAGACAAAAACCAGAGTGACGTTCTCAGCAAGTGCTTAGGTACCGTGAAAACTCATAACACTTGTGAAAGGCGGAAGATATGCACAGTTCTGTACTGTAATATCAAATGTATATGCCTAGGATATATTTTATATCCATTACTAAAAACTTTCTTTGCTAAACATTTTTAAAGATAGTGCTTCCAAGAAGATATTTCCTTATTTGATGATTTTATAGAATATATTCAGAATGACCATGGGTTTAGTTATTTTCTATTCCTAGATATACTATTTTATGTTTGAAAGGTTTATCATAATTTAAACTAAAGCATGATTACCACGTGCTTGACCATTTTCATTCTTCCATGATGCGCAAAAGGGCTTCCACAATGTACCAGTCTTTTCTTCTACCAGAATCATGAACTATGTCAGCTTTTCTACAAAGTGCCTGTACTAGCCATAGTTATTTTGTTATAGCAACACCAAACAACCTAAAATATAGCCAGCACATCAACAATACCTTTAGAACTATATTATCAGACCATGGTTATTTACTAACTAAATATTATATATGTATATTTAATTATAAGCATCATTCTAATTTAAATTAAATTATATATTGATTAAACTATATATCATTCTTATTTAAATACTGATGTGCATTATAGAAGGTTTTCTTAAGTACGGAATTACTCATTACAGTACAATACAATTCAATACAATAAAACCTTCTAATCTTGTAACACATTTACTCATTGTGGTGGCCTGACAGAAAATAGCCCCCAGTGGTACTATTAAGAGATGTGGCCTTATTGGAGTGGCTTTTTTGGAAGAGGTGTGTCATTAGAAGTGTATCGTTTGAGGTTTCAGAAGCTCAAACCACACCCAGTGGCCATCGACTTCCTGCAGCCTGCTCCTATAGATGTAGAACTCTCAGCTTCTTCTCCTGTCTGCTTGCAAGCTGTCATGCCTACTGCCATGATGATGTTTGACTAAACAAACCTCTGAAACTGTAAGCCAGCGCCAATTAAATGTTTTCCTGAGTAAGAGTTGTCATGGTCGTAGCGCCCCCTCACGGCAGTAAAACTTTAACTAAGACGTTCATCTTTGGCACCATTTAAGTTGAAGTCACTAATCTGAAAATGGATGTATCACAAAGGCATCAGCATTTAGTCCTTCAACTTCCAGGGAGCTCCACCCTGGACAGAGCAAGAAATTTGTCTGTGTTCACAAATATGTGACTTAGAGATCTGGGGCTGGTAACTTCAAAGAAAGTCTTGTGTCCCATGTAGGAAGTGCCATGTGTATCATATGGCCTTTTAAAAAGTGACCATTGCATTCCACATTTGCTCTTATCGTCATTTGCTCTCTTGGTGTCTCTGGGTTTCTGTTCTGTCTACTTTCCATACAATGCATCATTTTGAAAACCTGGATCCTGCTAACTATTTCTTCTTCCCATTTCCCCTGGGTTTTTCTCACGATGCTTTCATGAGAATGTGTATTTCATGCCTTTTGGTAATATTGTGAGGAAAAGTTGCTTTCCATTTTCATCTAAGAAGCTGATAGGTAATCAGTGATTTTTAGATCAATAAATGAACATTCAGATAAAATAGAAAACAAAACTTCCAAGACATATGAACTGTATAAATGTGAACATTCTGGATACATACTAAATTGAATAAATTGTAATAAATGATAATAATAAAAAAAGAAAAATTTTTAAAAAGAAAAAAAGTAAAAACTATCTATATAATAATGCACGTAAAACCTTTAGTATTATTTGTACTTTTAAGAAAACAAAGGTATATCTCTGAATAACAGTCTATGGAGTTGGGGAGAAGTAGGTGCTTCTCTGGTCCTATCATAGATGAACTTTGTATGTACATTAACTTTGTATGTTCATTAACTCACTTGGATTGCTATGACAGACTACATGAGGCAAGTAACTTATACAATGAAGAGGTTACTTGGCTCACATTGCCCATGGCTGGAAGATTCAAAATAGCATGTTGCCAGCATTTTACTGAGCAGAAAAGGAAATCAACATTTAGAAAAGGGGACAAGCATTCAGGGAGCCTTCATTTTTACAATAATCTCTTTCCAGAACAAGCATTCTATTCTATATGACCAACAGTAATCCCTTCCTTGGGTGTGATGCCTGACATAATTACATCTCATTGATCTTGATTCTGTATAAACATATGGGGGCCAGCACTGGGACCCCCAAGAGTCGGAGATTCACTATAGCAGTAAACATGATGACTTTTACCATGTGAGTCTTTGTTGTTGTTCTGAAAACTGAAGCTCATAGAATCCTGGCCCTGATTGGGGTGGGAGGCAGGGAAGAGAAGTCTCAGTTGCTTCTCTATTGCTGGAATAAAACAGCACAACCAAAGCAACTTGGGGAGGAACGGGTATATATCTGACAGCTTGTAGTCCCTCATATTGGACAGTCGGGCAGAAACCTAAGGCAGAAGCAGAAGCAGACGCCCTGGAGGAATGCTGCTGACTGGCTTGGTCAGCCAGTTTTTTTTTATACATCCCATCACTAAAAGCCCAGGACCGGCACCAACTATCGTAGTCTGACTTTACCATACCAACCAC